TTTCGGGCGAAGTCGATCAGCCTAAGTTCGTTATCGGACGGTTCGTCGTGGAGGCTGAACTTAGCGACGGTGGTTCCAAAGATCCCTTCCTTGCCCACCCTGGCATTGAAGTCACCGAGCACGATTTTGGTATCGTGGCGGGGGCAGCGCTCGTACGTTCGCTCCAAGCGCTTGTAGAAGAGATCCTTCTCTTCCGACGGGGCATGGGCACAGATGAGCGAGATGTTGAATAATCTCGCTTTGGTGCGGATTATGGCTAGACGCTCGTTTACCGGGGTGAACGACAGTACTCGGCGACGGAGTCTTTCTCCCACCAAAAATCCAACACCGAATTTGCACTCCTCTACATCGCAGATGTAGTATACGTCGCAAGGCCACAGGCATTGCTTGCCTTGTCCCGTCCAACGCATTTCTTGGATGGCGGTGATATCAGGTTTTGCTCTTACGAGGACATCAACCAGACGGGCATAGGCACCTTCCCCATTAAGGGTCCGGACATTCCAGGTGCATGTCCTCAAATCGTAGTCCTTTAAACGTTTGCCGTGGTCGTCATCATAAGGGGGGGTCTCATCCAAGGCAATGCTTCGCTTCTTCACTGGAAGGGGTTTTTACGTGGGGGGTCCCGAACCCAGTGCACGATTAGTAAATAGAATTTGTAAAATAAACATATTTTAAAAGTTCTAATTTTTTTACGATGTCTAAATTTTTTCCTTGCCAAAAACCGGGACATTTTGCGTCCTGACATGTGTTCTACCGGGACCTGTAAATTTTTCGGCTGAAGCCGAAGTCGAACCGAACATGCCGATTTACGAAGCCGATGATTTACTTTAGTATTAAGTAAATTGATTTTTTCAAAGAATATCTGGCATCCTTGGTGTGTGAAAGCAAAGTTTTCCGTGGTCCACTTTAATTTCTAAATATCTAAGTTTCTAGTGAAGAAAATACATCATCACGCAGTATATAACAAATCAAAGTGCCAAAAACATTACTAATAAAAGATCCGCTGTTCCGGGGACTCATTATCAAATTGAAAAGTAAGTTGGAAAATTGGTGCTCCGGTGCATTTGCCTTGTGCTTGCATCTGCTTTGTTTTTGTTGCTGGCAAATTGATTCAATTAGAACCCACAAACAACAATCGTGCATTGCCCGCTATACGATTTTTCGAAGTTGGTTTGAGGTCAAAGCTTTTATCATCTGGTTTTGGTCTTGACTCAACAAAGTTGCGACATGTGTGCTCAGTTAGTATTACTTATAACTACGCGTACAATTCGTGCTGCCACCCAGTTTTTTCTCACGAAGTATTTTTGAAGTATTTTGAACATAAGAAATGGCTCCGGGTGCTGAAAAGCGTCGTGGCGAGGCTATAGGCAATGAGGCAGAAACTGTAAAAGCTCCACGTATCAGCGAGTCAGTATGGATCAACGCTTCGAGAAGTTAAATGAGTTACTGGCAAAACAAATTAAAGATTCTGAAAACAGAATAATGGAGTTATTTTGCAGAAAGTTTGAGGAGATATTCGAGGGTTTAAAACGTGACCTAAACGACATAAGTGGAAGAGTCACTCGCATAGAGACTGCGTTTGATCGCATTGGGCTTCTTGAAGTTGAACTAACCACCTTGAAACAGAACTTACTCCAGCATGAAAGTCAGGTTGCCGCTTGCGACTTTCGTGTTCACGGTATACCCATGGAAAAATGGTGAAAATCTGCAAAATATTTTCCACCACCTTTGCTTTACGTTGAATCTACAGCCGCCACCTCTAAAAAGTATTTTTCGACCACGGAAGCTTCGCGACAGCTCGACAGATCCTGCGATCATCATAAAATTTCAATCGCCAACAGATAGAAATACGCTGTTAAAAACCATTGCGAACTACAGGCGTCTAAACAATAACAAAGGACCTCGATTAGTACAGTAGTAGTTTTTTATAATGGTGAGCTTAGATCATAAGTTCACGGGTTCCAAAGACTGCTTACTTACCTTACTGCACATACTCAGCAAACAAGCTACCGGGCTGATAGTAATTCATCTTAAGTTTATATAAAAAACTTGACGAGTTACGATATCTCTCTGAAGGTTCCGATATTACGTTCTGAAACCTGGTATTCCTCTCACCATATTAATGACCTCGTGATAGTAAATGGATACCAACTTATCAGAGCCGATAGAAGTGGTCATGGTGGTGGTGCTGCTATATATGTTAAAAATAGTTTGTCCTGTAGATTGTGTTGTACTTCTGGCCCTGGTGATTCTGTCGAATATGTGTTCGTTGATGTGTTTTCGGATAATGATAATAAACTCCTTATCGGCTGTGCATATAGACCAAATCGTCAAGTTAACTACTCTGATTTTATTGAATTTCTTCCATCGCTACTCATAAACTACGACAGCATTATTATTGCTGGAGATTTCAACAGTAATTTGCTAGTAGATACAAATCTAAAACTATGCATGGAATCTCTGGGACTTTTTCCCACAAATACCACAACACCAACACATTTTACTAGCTCTAACAATTCATTGCTAGATATATTTTTCGTGAACGACTTGCAGAAGTTGCTTCACTACAACCAATTATCTGCATCCAGTTTTTCGAAGCACGACCTGATAGTTCTAACATATGACTTCCAAACGTCCAGCAGTCCAATTTCGTTTACATATCGAGACTTGAAAAGCATTGATTATAACTCTCTCTCTGCTGCGATAGAATCGGTGGAATGGAGTTTGATTCGCACTTTCATATCAGTTGATGATCAGACTAAGTTTCTACAAAACCACATAATCAGGCTCTTTGATGACTTTGTTCCTGTCAAACACAAAGTGGCGAGATGCAATAATAGGCCATGGTTTAATGCCAGCTTAAAACACCTACATAATTGACTTGCGCAATCGGGCTTACTCACGATGGAAGCGATACAAAACTGCAGAAACATTTAGCCGCTTCAAAGCAGCTCGGCTCACTGTTAATAAAGCCATAAGGTCGGCTAAGGCAGCTTTCTACAAAGAAAAGTTTAGCTCTGCTCTAAACACAAGACAAACTTGGAATAAGATTAAAGAGATTGGGATTGGTAAATCTGCCCCCCTTATGCCCCCCCTTCTCCTGGAAGAAAATGTTAATGAAATAAATAAAAGCTTTGTTGGACTGCCGAAATCGGCAGTTAATATATGTCTTGACAATTACTGTGTTCGTGTAGATGTTGGTACCAGTCCTTTTGAGTTTGTCTGTGTCGATGATTGTGATGTTGTGCAAGCAATAATTTCTGTGAAGTCTGATGCGGTAGGGTTCGACGGGATTTATGGCAATTTCCTAAAAATCATTCTACCCAAAATCCTGCCGCACGTAACCTATTTCGTCAACTCAATTCTGACGACTTGTATTTTCCCTAAATGCAGGAAAGCTGCCAAGGTGATCCCAGTTCATAAGCAAAATAATGAGTATAGCCATACTGCCTTTCTTATCTAAAGTCGTTGAGCGTATTTTACATGGGCAAATAATTTCGTATGTTCAAGATAACAAACTTCTGACACATAATCAGTCCGGTTTCAGGCCAAAGAGAAGTTGCACAACGGCACTTTTAGACGTGATAGAAGGCATTCGAGCACGAATTGATGAAAAACAAATTGCTTTCCTAGCGCTTCTTGACCATTCAAAAGCCTTTGATTCTGTTGACCATGTCTTGTTATGTAAGAAGCTGGAGAACTTATTTTGCTTCTCTAGTCATGCGACCGCTCTCATTAGATCATACCTTGGCGAAAGAACTCAGGCAGTAAGCATTGGCAGCAGAATTTCTGACTTTCTACCTGTAGTAAGTGGCGTCCCACAAGGCTCAATCCTGGGTCCTCTGTTATTTGTTTTGTATATAAATGACTTACCTAATGTTTTAAAATATTGTTATGTCCACATTTATGCGGATGATGTTCAATTGTATGTTTGCTGTCCTTCTGATCGTACTGGTGTGTGTATTAGAAACCTGAATAAGGACTTGGCTCATGTAGGTGAATGGGCTTCTGTGTTCTGTGAATGGCTTATGCCTAAACCCTAACAAGTCAAAATGTATCCTCATTCATAGAAGGTCATTCAATACAAATGGCCTAGATAATGTTATCTTTGACAACTCAATTATAGAATATGTTGACACGGTAAAAAATCTTGGTGTAGTCATTAACAAAACTTTGACATGGAAAGATTCCATTTTGAGTACGGTACGAAAAGTGTATGGAATGCTTCGTACACTCTGGTTAACACAGTACTTCACTCCGTTAAACATAAGACTACTTTTAGCGAAAGCGTACTTAATACCTACGCTGCTTTATGGCTGTGAGATTTATGCAAATTGTGACTATGTGCTGAAAGGTTGCTTAATATTTCTTTTGACAACTTGTTAAAGGTTAAAACGCTATCGACTCTACATAAAATAATATATACAAAAGAACCCTTTTATCTTTATAGAAGGCTCCATTTTCTTCAGTCATCGAGGTCAGTACTTCTAACACATACGAAATATCGAACTCTAACATCTGAACGTCAATTTTTCATCACCTCTATACGTATTTGGAACTAACTTCCGACTAGACTAAGGCTGTTAAGTAATGCACTGCATTTTAAAAAAGAATTAATCTCTTACTATAGTAATTTATAAGTTATTCAAATTAAAATTTTTTTCTTCCTTCGTCCTGTTTTCTTTTCTTTTCCTTTTATTGTTATTTCTTCAAACCTAATTATTAATTTCCCCTAATTTTGCTTACTTCAATATTACATAAATGCTATTCTTAGTTCATAGACTTAGATATATATGCAATTTAAGATTATAATGAGGCGTATTCTCGTTTTCGTACGAATCGAAAATTTGTAATTTTTGTATAGAAAATGATAGAAAAATTTCATGATTTTCGATTCTTACGAAAACAAGAATACGCGCCAATATCAATATGTAAGATTTACTTTATTTTATCTTGACTGGCACTGTAAAATAATTTTGTTAAATTGTTGTGCTGGGAAAAAACATCAACTAAATACATATACAAATACTTACCTTTGTAAGTGTACATAATACTTGTTACTCGTCGTGAACGGACGTGTTTTTGCCGTGCTCCGAGTTTTTCTTAAATTCAACTTGTGCTTTTACTTTTAATTCAATGGCGCATAACAATTAAAATTGTGTTATGAGACATTGACTCTGTTAGCCTTTTCCTGTGCTTTTATATTTTACCAATTGGATTATTATGCCGTGTTTTTGTGGCCATAGGGTCGAGCGCGCCCAAACTTCAGTGCAATGTGAAAACTGCCGAGAAATTTATCACTTAGATTGTGTTGTTGGTAACTTGCCTGCCGACCCAAATTATCTAAATAATGCTGAAAATATATATATCTGTGGTTTGTGTGCTCCCGCTCAACTAGACGAGTCTTTGACTTCGCATAACTCGTCGTTACAACAACAGCAAGCCATACAAGTGCAAGTGCCAATGCCGCCTACTGGCGATGATAATTTTAACGAGTTGAAAAGAGTTAACTCTCAACTTCTTGCTGCTGTGACTGCTTTGCATAATGATAATGAGTGCTTACGTCAAAAAACAGATTGTCTTCAAGCCGAGGTTCGTGATTTGCACTGTAAGCTTAACGAGAATAATACAACTTTATCTCATTTGCTCACTCGTTTTGAAAATTTCTTTGATGTATACAACAACAACACTGCTAAATCCATGCAGCCAGCTTCTACTTGCGCCCCAACAGGTGCTATGGGCTCTGTCGACGTAGTTTCTAATGCTGCTGAAACAACAGCTGATACTGCTGCTAATCCGCCGCAGCCTAATGAAGCTGCTGCTGCTGCTAGCATTTCAACTGCGACGCAAATTCCAATCGCCGCTACTTCGCAATCTTCGTCGCCTACTTCGGGTATTGTTGTCAAGCCTCCTGCAGTTGTTGGTAACGAGAACGAATGGAGAACAGTGCAGAATAAAAAGAAATACAAACGAAGTAATAAAAATAAAATTGTTAACAACAAAGATTGCGCTCCTAACAATGCTAATGTTGAAGCAGGTACTAGTTCAATGCCTGATAGTGCTGAAAGCAACAACAATGCTCCCATTACAAATGATAACATTTCTTCTGCCGATAACCTGTCAGTTTTGGGTACTGGTAATGCTGTGCTTGCTCAACAACAAATAAATGATGAAAGGGAATTTGAAGACAATGCTGCGTGGGCAAAAGTAAACAACATAAGGCGAAATAACAACGTAATTGTTGTGGGTTCTAATGCAAGCACCGAATTGTGCATTGCTGATCGTATGATGTGGGCGCACTTGTCGTCATTTGATCCTAAAGTCACTGCTGATGATATTAAGAATTATGTGTGTAAGCATGTGAACATTGATAAAAAGGCTCTCTCTTGCTATGCTTTAGTTAAAAAAGATGACCCAGCAGAAAATCGTACCCACGTTAACTTCAGGTTGGGTGTTCTATCTGCCGAGTTTAATAGTATTCTTGATGCGAAAATTTGGCCTATAAATGTAAGAGTGAAACCATTTAATTTTTTTCGCAAACGGGGAGGTCGCAAACGAAGAGGTCGAACCCAACAACAAAATGTGTAGAAGCCAGTACAACAACAAGATGTGCAGAAGCCGGCGCGGCTAATAATAATATATATGACCTTAAGGTATATTTGCAGAATGTCTCTGGCATTCGAACTAAAGGGGAGGCAGTACGGCTTTTTAGTTCTCGTTTGGATTTTGATGTCATTGTGTTTGTTGAAACCTGGCTTACAATTAATTTCTTTGACAGTGAGTATTTTGACTCCAATTTGTATAACGTTTACCGCAAAGATAGAGACTCCCTGAAAACCGGCTGCGATAGAGGTGGGGGCGTTCTCATTGCTGTTCAAAGAAAATTTCATTCTCACTTGGTTGCGCTTGATAATTATGATTCGCTTATGGACCAGCTATGTGTTAGCATTAAGGGAGCTTCTTCGCCAAGCTCGCTGTTTGTTATTGCTTCATACATTCCACCCAATAGCGCGGATTACATTTATAGTGCACACACTGATAATGTGACCTCTTTAATTCTAAGTAAGGTAGCTGATAATCATGTTTGTGTATTAGGTGACTTTAACCTTATCTAATGTAGGCTGGTCTCCTATATCAAACTCTGGCCTTATGCCCATAAATATTAGTAAGTCGCATGAGTCTTATCTTGTAGACAATATTTTGAGCGTTAACTTAGTGCAAATTAATAAATATGTAAACAGGCTTGGCAGAATTCTTGATCTTGTTTTCGTCAGTGACAATATAAACACCTCAATTGAAGAATGACATTTTCCTTTATCGCCATCTAACTTGCACCACGTTCCTCTGACTATTAATTTTGAGTTTTATAAGTTTGCATCAAATGCCTCTGTTGAAGATGTACGTTTCAATTTTAAAGCCGGTAATTTTTCTGAATTAAACTTATGTTTATCTGAGCTTAATTGGGAGGATTTATTTTCTACCTCTGATGTCTCAGCTAGTTTTTGTATCTTTAAAGACATATTATCTGAAGTGTGTCTAAAATGGGTTCCCATTGTCAGGAAAAAAACATATAAACTTCCATGGTACAATCGTCGCCTGAAGAAGTTGAAGAATCTGAGGAACAAATTCTTTAAAAGGTACAAGGCTACTGGTAACTTTATATTTTATGCATCATACCAGAAATACATGAAGGAATTTAACTGTTTGGATAAATTTCTTTATAGAAATTATATACTTAATGTTGAGTCAGGTATAAATGCCAGCCCCAAATCATTCTGGAGTTTCATCAAACCAAAAAAATCTATCTCCAGTATTCCATCTGCTATATTCTTGGAGAACGAATCTGCTAGTAACTTAACTGATTCAGCAAATTTATTCGCGAAGTTTTTTAGCTCTAATTTTATATTGGATGATAGTAACTCCGAATTTGTGGCTGGTTCTGGAGACAATGTTTCTTCTGTAAATTTTGGACCTCTCAGACTTTCATCTGAGGATGTTTTAAACGGAATAATGGGTCTTAAGCCTTCAGAAAAAACTGATATTGATGGTATTTCGGTTTTTTGCTCAAAAATGCGCCAGCGTTAATTTTACCACTTACAATTATTTTTAATATGTCTCTGGCTTCAGGCTATTTTGTGGAAGATTGGAAAATTACGTGCATTACTCCTACTTTCAAAAGTGGAAATAAGAATAATGTTTGTAACTATCGTCCGATTTCAAAGCTGTCCACCATCTCGAAGCTTTTTGAGGTTATTGTAAAAGAGAAAATATATTTTGCAACCAAAAGTCTAATAACACCATTTCAGCATGGCTTTATTCCAAATCGGTCTACAATTACTAATTTGACTGAATTTAGTGAATACTGCTTCGAGTCTTTCCAACTTGGTCTTCAAGTTGATTGTGTATACACTGACTTTTCCAAGGCTTTCGATAAAGTATCACACGTGGTGCTAATTAGTAAGCTTGAACACCTGGGATTTCACTCTGCTTTTTTAAAGTGGATAAAAGCTTATCTATCTAATAGTCAATGTGTGGTCACTGTTGATAACACCAACTCACGACCGTTTATAGCGTGTTCAGGCGTTCCTCAAGAAAGCATTTTAGGCCCACTGCTCTTTGTGTTATTCATAAATGACATAAGCAGTGGCTTCTCTTTCGCTAAATACCTATTATATGCTGACGATCTAAAAATATATTCTAATATTCAAAATCGTGATGACATTAATAAGGTTCAGGCAGATATTGATAATCTCCAGGTCTGGTGCTTAAACTCCCACCTCTCCTTAAATATAAAAAAGTGCTTCAAAATAACGTACGCGAAGATACAAAATGTTTTGCCTTCCACCTATATGATTGATGACTCTGTTTTAGATTCTTTAGAAGAAACTAAGGATCTTGGTATCTTCTTTACCTCGAACTTTTCTTTTAATAGCCACATAAGCTTTATTATCGCTAAAGCGTACTCACTTTTGGGCTTTATTAGGCGTAATTGTGCGAAATTTTCGGATCCTTATACTCTTAAATTACTTTATACAGCCTTTGTTCGGTCAAACTTGGAATATGGTGCTATAATATGGAGACCATACCATATTTCCGCAGTAAATAGAATTGAAAGGGTCCAAAAAATATTTCTTAGGTTTGCGCTACGCTTATTAAACTTCTCTGAGCCGATGCCTACTTATAATTCGCGGTTACTTCTAATAAATTTGAAAACGCTGGAGACAAGGCGAGTAATTCTTTCATTATCTTTCTTTTTCAATATTATTAGTGGTGACATTGATTGTACATCTCTTCTCGCTCGGATTAATTTTAACATCCCGCGGAGGTCTCTGCGTATTGTTGTACCCTTCTATGAACAAATTCTTAGAACTGATTATGCTCGAAATGCTCCCATCGCTCGAGCTATCAATGAACTTAACAGGATCTCGAACTCTGTTTCGTTTGATTTCTCAATATCTAAGTATGAACTTATTAACATATTGAATACAGTTTTGTAATATATTGTTAAGTTTTTACGTTGTTTGTTACATATAGCTCTTAGTCTGTAAGAAACCTGTATTTCATAGACTTGAATAAATAAATAAAAATAACAAAACTAAATAACTAAATGCATTCGGTTTAAAAACTACATACGTTTTGTCTTCAATTCAACGGCAACGAAATTGCTACATTTTATGTATTTTTTTTTTTTTTTACTTACACCTGTACTTCCTCTTTCATAACGAATTGAAGTCAATCCAACAACAATAATATAACCAGCAGACAAAAATGTAAATTAAGGCATATGTTACAGTTTTGCACTTATATATTTTTAATAACTTTTTGACAATTTTCACAAAAAAAAAGAATTAATAACACAATGTTCAGTATACTTTTTATTTTTTTTAGTTCCTGGATGCAATTTGGCGCACCTTATTTGTATCTCTATAAAAATTCTGGAGGTATAGCCTCCCATATATCCTTGGTTTGCTTTCACACCTCATGTACTCCATTGGACGAACTTGGATACTTAGTAAGCTGCGGTTTTAGTTGATTTCGACGAGATTCATATCCGCGGATTGTGGAGGTCATTTCAAAATAGCAAATTTTTGCTTTTGCATCCAGTCTTTGCGAACATATGCAGTATGTTTTGGGTGATTTTTCAGCAGAAACTCTCATTTTTCGACTACATATTGCAAATTTTGTTGAAATATGAACAGATACTGTTCCTTACGCATAATGCGTACTAACGGACCAACAATATTTTTGAAATATAACCCCAAACTATTATTAACCGACCACTGTGATTCACAGTTTGCCTTACATGATGCGCTTAGGCTTAATTTGCCTGGCCATCTGATTGAACGCGATTAATTTAGTCTTGTCAGACCAACTAACGTCAATTAAATCTTAAAAATGTGTTTTTCTGTAAGGCCTAACATATCCCAATAGGCAACGGTCTGGTTTTCGTACGATCCGGCAAAATTCTACCACTCTCGCACATGTATTTTGATTAAAATGGTTTTTTTCTTCTTTTATTATGCCTTTGCGTTCAGTTTGACAATTCTTCGCCTCGCTGTCTACTGATTTGCATTCAATTTTAATACCTTAAGCGCTTCTGTAATAGTGACTGCAGCGCTACTTGCTACTAAGTTCACAAGATATCGGAGCGTAATATTTTTTGGCAGACTTCCTTTGTCCTCAATAACATTTTAGGCTATATGTTTTCTCAGTCTTGACACTTTCATGTGGCGAACTCCACAACTATTTGCCACTTTTCCTACGGTCCCGCCTTTCCACAGTAAATCTATTATTTAGGTTTATGTTTCTTGATTAATCATATTTTTTACTGGTAATCACTTCTTGAATAAAAGTCATCTGACTTTCAACTAAGTAAAAGATAACTGTAAAATGCAAAACTGAGAGTGAGTGTAAAACTGTAACATTTTCCTTAATTTATATTTTTGCCCGCTGGTACTATTATTGTTGTTGGATTGACTTCAAATCTTTATGAGAGAGGTAGTATTGGTGTACCAATAAGAATATACAACAAAAGTATGAAAGTCGTTAGAACTTGGAAAGATAGCGGTGGCTGAAATGGAAAGTGTTACACCGTGTTACAGTTTTGCTTGTCATTGTACATTCTTATTTTCTGCAGTTAAACTACCGTTGACTTAACGAAACCTTTGCTGTTGTGAAGAACGCGAAGTTTCAGCTGAAAACATAAACAGCGTTCGTCATATCGAATAATAAAAATCTTTTGCGTTAGAAATATAGAAACATCAATGAGATAATTTTAATGATTCGTTAAACCGAAAATTTGTTATTCCGAAAGTTCGTTATACTGGACATCCACTGTAATTGTAGCCACAGTTCAGTTTCTGTGCAAAGTCATTCTTATATAGCAAACAAATTTGTTTATATGAACCTTAATAAATAATAATATTTTGGCGCTTACACTTTTGCTAAGTGTTTGGCCGAGCTTCTCCTCTAATTTGTGGTGTGCGTCTTAAGGTTATAAAACAAATGGAGGAACCTACAGTTTTACGCCGTTTCCGAACGATAAATAGATTTTATTAGAAGCTTTTTCATTGTCGAAATACACTCGGAGGTTTACCATTGCCTGCCGAGGGGCGACCGCCCTTGCAAATAATTAATAATAAT